GGGTGGGTGGGAAATGTCTCAAAAGAAAAGCTGACTAGAGGTGTGACAGGAGTTTGTTTAGCTGCTAGCCAGAAGACCTGCATTTGGGAGTTTGGTGTAACTCCTTACTTGCAAAACTGCTCTAGTGTGTGATCATCAGAACATATGTACTCAGTCTCTGAGAGAAGGGAACCAGCTGGCTGGCAGAAAAATACCATTGGCATTGCCCGTGTTCTTGTGTTGACAATGTCACAAGCTGCCCTCCCAGATGGAGAATTTGAATGAAGCCAGTTGTGGGTCATAAAAAAAACCCAGTCCTCGTTTTTGTGTATCATTCTTAATGATTGTTATTGCTTTAGATATCATCATATTCATGGTTAGCAAAACTAGTCATTTTGACGATATCTTTCAAGTTTCTCATTTGAAAGTAAGCAATGTACAGTGAACATGTTACATTACACTGTATTTGTGTACTGTCTGTAGTGATGGCTGATCTTCTGCATTGTTGAATGTTTAATTTTTTTGTTACAATGTGTGGTTCTGTTTTTCCCTTAGGAACGCTCGGACCAGGGACTCTTCCAAAAATCAGCCTTTGATGGAAGTCATAATTTTGCAGCTGCTTACCGGCGCAATGATACTGTTCTCCAGCAATTTGTCACGTGCAGTCCTCAGGAAAGAATAAAAGGTAGTCTCTAGATATCCTTCCCTGTGCTAAAAGAAGGTGCTTTGTGATTCTGTGTTTTGAAATCCGCAGCCGCTAGAAAAGCAGTTAATTAATTAGAGTAAGTGCACACTATGTTACTTTGAGGCTTGAAGATCCAGCAAGGGTGGGAGAGCTGACTCAGAAGTTGTGAATTAGATTCCTGGCAGAAATTCCAGTTTAAGTAACAGTTTCTAGCTCGCTGCCCCAACACGTAAGGTTGGATAAAAAACAAATGATGAGTGCAAAATATATGTTGTCAAAATGTTTATTTTCTATATATCTTTAATGAGTGCAATGATTTTTGCGCTGACTATTTAGATTATGTCCCAGGTTATTATAAGCTAAATTAATTTATACAAAAGCATGATATTCATAAAGTACGCTTGCTTATTTTAGACTTAAACGTAAAACCTGTTCAAAGGTTAGAAACATTCCCTTAATTTACAAATTGGAATTACATTAATGAACTCATTAAATAAAATTAGGTAGACGTGTACATTGTACAAAGAAAACCTACGTATATGAGCATATGCAAGTCTATAAGTAAGAGATTTTAAGACCATTTAGTTTCCTGTGCTCTTTCATTTCTAATGGCATAGTGTACTATCTATCCAGTTTGCACCTGACTCAGTAAGGTACAAGTTATTTGAAAAGTTTTAAGTATTTGAGATGGTCTTGACCCCAATCCCTTTAAGTGTGCTCTTAATCTTCAAGTCGAGCACATACTTAAACACCTTCCAGTAGGAGAAAAGTATTTTCTTTGATGTAGTTGAATTATGCATGATTTTTCCCACTTCCCTAGACAACTGTGGAATCTGGGTTGCCTGCAAAAAGTAATTTCATAGGCTGCCGTGATGACTGTGTGGGGTACTTTTAACCAAAACCAGAGAGCCCGTATCTGTAAAGCTCAAGAGAAACTCCCCTATAGTTTAGGGGTAAATCATTTGTGACTTCAATATTTTGACAGTGTGACTCCAGGAAAAAATGAGATATAGACTCAAGTATTGTAAATATTCAAGGATCAGATCCTTTTGTTTAGATCTACCTTATATTTCTCTTGTATGGAATTTATACCAATTCTGTAGTTACAGGAGAAAAGGGTCATGCTCAGAGCTAGCCTGCCCTGTAGAGTTAGTCATTGCCAAAGGATCAGAAAGCAACAAATACCTTTAATCACTTCCTTAAAAAACATATAAAAACAACTGCTCTGGAACCACTCATACAGGTGAAGGGCAACAGGTAACTTTACTTTAAAGTTCAAAACAAAGAATGTGGGAGAGCTGTACTTTCAGATAAGGATTCTCCAGCTGTAATCCAAAAATCAGGATTGAGTAGTTTGCAGATCATTCATAAAACCCTTTTCAATAGACACCTCTTAAAGAATGGCGATAAGAAGGTATTATAGCCAAAAAATACGATTGCCTCAGAAGAGAGTATGTGTCAGATATGGAAAGCATGCTCTGGAGTGCTGCTGAGGGCTACTGTCAGGGAGGGTTTGGCATGGTTGGGGCTTTCCAGGCATGGACTGGGAGCAGTTTCTTTCTCTAATTTTGAGGTCGTAGTATTAATTATTATTGAGCTAATACTCCTTCTGCTTTCTGCAGGAGCTTGTTGCCAGTCGCGGGTTCAAAACATGTTTGTTGCACTGTTTGTTCTAAATTTTTGTCCTCAATCTTTCAAGGCAGCTGCAAAGGCAGAACACTACACCTATGCACAAATCGTCATTTCACTCAGTTATGAACTTTAGGTTGTATGTCTGTTTAAGGATGTGCATCACAGACAGAGTGAGCTTCTAGTGACAGTCCTTTGTACATTATTGTGGTGCACTATCCAGATCTTGCATGTAGAAGTACGATAGGTACATTTTCACAAAGAATAATAAAAGAAGAGATTTTTAACATAATATAGGATCTAAGTAAGGATTTAATGACACGAGCTGCATTACATTTAATAAAATGTCACTTTCTCAATTAATGTTTTCTAATGTTATTTCCAGTATCATTCACTGCTCCTACCAATAAAATTCTTATAAAAGCTCAGCAAAAATACACTGAAGCCTGCCCTGCTAATATTGCTCTCTGTTTTAACAGTCTTTTTTATTATACATGAGCAAGAAAAACTAATGTCTGGGGAAAAGTGGTTATAGCCAAAACATTACGTTTTGTCTTGCCTGTGGATATTTAAATGAAGGGGGAAGGGATACTGATTCAATATTGAAATGCCAGTGTTTGTTCTATTTTTGCATGAATAATACTTGCTGCCTTCAGGTCCTCACTTCTTTTGCTGCCAAGCTGTTGCACAGATTCCGTGTTTTTAAGAACAACCTCTTTGAGAATTGATACTTCAGTGCCAACAGCTTTACATTTCTGGTGCTGAAAGATTACTGGAATGTGTTTCATTAGAGGTTCTTACATATTTCTTATAACCCTACATAATAAATGGTTATAGGGGACATGCTGTCATCTCTCTGGTTAAGTAGTAGAATAATCATAAACTGCCTCTACTACTATGGACTGCCAAGTCTTCATGGTTGTACAAGGGACTCTGTTTTCATACATGTGTGGTAATGTCAAGATAAAAATTAAGAAGATAAATTTTAAATTAATGTTTAAATTTTGCTTGTAAACATTACATATATCTTATAGACAGACTCAATTATTTACTCTCCTAAACTGTTTAATATCTGAAAATTCAGTACATTTTTATTTAGTGGCTTAGCTGTTCCTCTGATCTCTCTGGATCTGTTAAGTTCATTTTCTGAGGTCTTGGACAGGGAGCCAATGACTGCCTCTTAGGTTAAATTCTCTCACTCTTTTGCTCTTGCTCCCATTTTGCTGGGACCTGTAGTCCCTTGTGATCATTTCCGATTCACTCAGGAATTCTGACATTTTTCTCTCTGTACCGTTAGTGTACTGCAAGAAAAATGCCAGTGGTAACCTCTCACCAAACAAAGCCTTTTGAAGTGACAGATCAATTACTGTGAATCAGAGTTAATATACCTGCGTGATATGCTCAATCTCTTGCTATGGCTAGCAGAGGCTGCTCAAAGAGGGTAAGGCACAGTGTAGGGTGTGGTGTGTATTATTTCTGTTGTTCTTCTTCCATTGGGCATCTGTTTCCTACTTTGTGTAGTCGGTGGTTTAGGGACTTCCTAAATCATAGGTTCTGTCTGGACCATTGTGTCATTGATAACTCTCTAACTTTTAGTCTATTTCTTAATATTTTTTTTTTTTTAATTTGGTTTCCAAAACGTCCTCATGCCAATGAGTTCCATGATTTAATTGCACAGGAAAAAATACTATTTGGTGTTTGACCTAGGCATGCTACTTGATAGTTAAACTTGGTGACTTCTAGTTACTGTGTGCAAGACGGTCAGTGAAGGCTTCCTTTTCAACTTATGCACAGCTTGTACAGTTTCACAGACTCCTCTTGTATCCTGTTTTATTGCTTCTTACTCTAAACCAAAGAATCCTAGTCCATGTTCCTTGTAGGAATGTTTCTACATGTGCCCAACTACGCTTGCCACCTTTTCGGTATGTTTCTGAATTATATTAAATCCTTTTTCAGATGGGAAGGATGAAACCTTAGATGCTAATTTAAAAACTAGGCACACCATTAACTCTGTAGATAGAGTGTTTGGACTTTTTTAAGGCTCTAAATGTCTGTTTCCTTTTGACTTCACTAAGCATATATTCAAAGAACGATCCAGCGTTCCGGAGTGGTAATCGCTAAAATAGCCACCTTTGAGTATGTTTCAAGAGTTTTCTCTACTCCTATGTGTATCACTTTGCAGTCACTGGCAGGGAATTTCACCTGCATTTCCTACTTACCTAATATCCTGCAATCTTTTTGCAGAACTTCATAGTCTGCTTATTTGTGGTAGTTCTGAGTGTTTTTACATGAGTAAATTTTTTCATTTTCTGGTTCATCTTTCAAATTATTTAGTTACATTGAACAGTATGAGTTTCCCTTTGTTCTAAGTATTTTTTACTGTACTAACTTGACATTTACCCCTCATTTATGTTTTATGTTCTTAAATTACAACCTGATCATAATGCAAGAAGCCGGTGGGCATATATGTTAGCAAGCATACCTGTTTTCTGTGTCAGACTGGCAATAAATATTTTTTAAGGTCACACTAGAACTTGTCTCCTCGTTTTCTCTACTTTACATTATTCTGATGACATTCTCACTTTTTCTGAGATACAAGGTTCAAACTATTGCTTATCTTCCTGATCTTTAGGAGACTATCCATCCAATCAGAGTTTTATAGTATTCTTGAGCTAATAGTGTGGTTTTGTTGGGGTGGGGTTTTTTGTTTGTTTGCTTTTAGGGAACTATCTCACTGCTCTTAGCTAATAAATATAATCTACTGCTGTCTACCTTGATCCCCTCTTTGTAAACCCTTTTTCTCTCAAGTTACTTTCACATAGGATTGTGCAAAAAGACTAGCAACATTCAATTGCAACAGAACAGTTCACATGAAAATGTGGTATATCAGTATTGTTAAATTGCTTACCTGCCACCGAAACCCAAGTATTATTAAATGTTCATGTTTCCTGTTAAGTTGTGGAGGGGTGAGGACATATTCTACACTCAAAAATGTAGGGACTTTTTATAAGATTAGACCTTTAGATTGAGAGGTGAATTTCCAGGACAATGATGAACTGGCCTACAGCAGGCATAGCAATCATATTAAATACTGCAGGTATGTAAGCGTTGTTGTTTAGTAAATCACTGAATGATTTAATTGAGTAGTTTGTGTTTTTCTTGGTTCAAAGTAATTTTCTGGTGTGAGCTGAACGCCTTTTGTAAAGGTAAAGAAGGAATTACCGTAATGGTAATCGCAGGAAAATGAAGACTGTAATTCAGAAATGTCTCTTTCTTTCTCTTGTTCTGGGATAACAGAAATTTTTCTTCTTCTGAACTCTTTGCTGAGAATGTAGTTCTCTTCTGTACATGAAAGGTGGGGTAAATGCTCCACATCAAAAGGAATGAAAGCATGAACCTACGATCAGTTAGGATGCAGCTATGTAGAAGTGAAAATCCATTCAAATGGAGTAAAGCAGTTCGTGTCTTGCACTCAACTTCACTATAAGCACAAAGTTTCCCTATCTTTAATTATGCATATGCAAATCTGAAAATCAGCTCTTCAGGAAATCCCAAGGGGTATATTTTCTGCTTGGTGTGATTTTAATTCTAGTTTAGTTAGTTTAGGGATTTGAATAATTTGTGACTCACTTCAGCATTGCTTGAGGCCTTCTAGTCCAGTCATTGATCAGTGAACTGGTGTAATGTACTTGTTTCTGCAGCTTATTTAATCCATTTTTAAATTTTATTTCAGAGTTGCCGGTGTCTGATCGTGGCAATGGTGAAAACGAAACCCCTCCACCTCTCCCACCGCATCCCAGTGAGGATCTGTTGAATGAGGATTATAATCATAGGTTGGACTTTGGCTATTCTTAATAGTTACAGCCCTAATTGCTCATTAGGAGTTGTGATAATAGTTGATTTTAAAATCACTTTTTATTCTGTAAAAATTTGTACCACTGTTTTTAATCACCTGGATGATCCTTTAATATAAGATGGGAATGTTATTTTAGCAATTCATTTCGGTTGTTCATAAGCTGCAGTGTGCCTACTATCCATAATATACAGATCACAATGCCCAGCGTTTGTTCCATAAACCCAAAAAAAATCCCAAAACATAATCCCAATTTTTTTTTTAAAGTTGATTTAAAGCTATATCAGTGGTGGCTATGTGTAGATGCAGAGCCTGAAGTCTTTTAAAGCTTTAAAAGTCCTAGCCAAATTCACTTTACAGGAAACTCAATCTTCTTATGCAGCACACCAGCCAAAGGCATCCTTGAGGTTACAAAATGAAGCTTCAGCAAGTTTGAACATTGAAATGTGTAATGGAGAGATTAATGGACACTTAACCAGTTGTAAATACATTGGATAGATTTTTGAGATATTTTAATATCTTTTGTAAAGGCTGGTGTGCTTGATGGCAGCTACAAGCTTTAATTTCCTTCGTACCTATGGAAGTTTGGAAGTGCAGAAGACAATGTAAACACGCTGAAGTTCATGATGGCGTATACTTTGTCTCAAGTAGCACAGGATTCAAATCAAGCATCATTTCATACTTCTGATGCTGAAAATTTCACGTTGAACACTGTTTATTTTGCGTGTATTAAGTTTTGATAGTCATGCAACTGTTTTATTGCAAGGATATGAGGAAAATATTAATTTCAGCCAAAAAACTTAGCTATACTTATGTCCTTTTGTGCATGGATGTGATTAAAAACAACCCTTTAAATGATTGGTTGCATATAGTATCGAAGAATAAATATATTTTATTATGGATACCATGAATTCTTCATACAAAGAAGAATCTTGTAACTATTTTCTTCTTGCTAGCATACAGTAATTTGGCTAGAGTGATTTAATAGTTTCTGGTCTCCTAGGCAGATATGTATGACATGGTAAATGAACAAAAATCTACACAGGCTGATGGAACTGCATTAGAGTCTCAACTGCAGTTGCTTGCTAGTATCTGTTCTGAATTTTTCAACAAGATGGGAGCAAAAACTTTCTCCTAAATGATAACGATGCATTAAAATAATGATGATGATGAATTTACAGGTGCTTTCTCCCACCCCGACTTTTTTCCAGTGTTGTATTGGTTTGGAACTTAAGTTCCGTTGAATTGCTGTGTCAAGTCACGCTGGTTTCACCGAAATTGCATTTCAGCAAAGAACTGGGGAAAGTATTTTCACACTGCAAGACCAAACCTTTTGATTGAACGTTTTGGAAATAAATGTTTTTAATTTTGGAACTGCGTTTTGATTTTTGGAGTATTTAAAAAATAATTTCTGTTGCTAATTGAAAAGAGACACGGGAAGATTTCAGGTGCATTGCAGTGAGGTGTTTTGAGTTCTCACATGTGAAAGTTACTTTGAGTTTCATTCAGGTGGAATTTTTAAATGTTTAGGTATTTGCCTAAGTTGAAGTAAAATAATTAAAAAAACAAAACACCAAAACCTAAACCATAATACCTTGGAATTCTTTAGAGTGTTGTGGCACCCTCCATAGACCTCCAGTCTCTAGCCTCTGCAGAAGTGGTGCAAGGCTGTAAAATAACTTTGTATTAGCAGATGATGCAGAATTGAGCCAAGTATGTTGGCAGTATTTTCCCAACTTTCTGTAGCATGTTATTTGGAAATACAGTGATCAAAAAGAACTAAGAATACACAAAATGACAACAAAAATAAAATCAGCAGGTACTGGTATGTGTCTCTGTTATTCTGCTAAATAAAATATTAATTGTTTAAAAGCGATTATCACTAAGCATTTACATTTATATTTGCATCCATGAGGAAAAACAAGTGGCTGGAGGTGTTAAATCTCAGAGAAGAAAGCTGAGGATCAATAACTGATATTAAAATGCATGGCTCTAAGCAACTGGAGGAAGAAACACATGTATATTTGTACATGCTTTAATTAGTTCACTTGTGTTTTGAACTGGTACCTAAATATTTTACTTTTTTTTTTTTTTTTTTTTTTTCCCCTGCAGCTCTATCATAAATTCAGCAGTGCATTTAACAGAACAGCACATCAACTTCAGATCTTTAACGCCAGCCCAGCAGTCTGAATCAATTAATCTGAAAGCCTCAAAAAGCATGGATCTGGGTAAGAAGGGGTGGGGTGACATACAGGTCAGCTTTTTAGCCTTAGGCCAGCTGCACCATCTCTGTTCCTTGCTTTTGTTTCTTAAACACAAACATCAGGGTGTAAGTTCTGCAGAGAAGCTACAATGGTGAGGACAATGGTCAGCCTCCTGTAGCATCTAATTGCAAGTACCCTTTTTATTGAAGCTGAGGAAAGATTTACTTTTTTTTTTTTTTTTTCTTAAAGGCCATTCTATCCATTGTATTGAAATCTTAGCTGAGGAAAAGAGGGAGCATTTGTAAAAACGAGCAGAAAGTATTGCTGTACAAGTTTTATATGTCTAAAAAACATAGCAAAGCAGAAATAACAGAAGTCATTTTTGTATAGAATATAAATGATTGCAAAGCTACGCTGGATGAAGGCTAACTTTCCTAAGACAAGTTGTGTATTTCTTCAGTGACAATGACAAACACAGGCAATCAAAGTGTTGCAGTAGATCTTTATAAATGCTTGAAGAGTGATAAGGTTATGGTCCTCTACCCATCAACACTATGCAGAAAATGTTGCAGGGTGGGTGAAGCAGAAAGCAAATGGTTCTTTCAATACTGGGAAAGCATTTGCAGGTGGAAGATTGAAGGGTTATTGCAGTTGAAAACCGAGTCCTGTTTTAATGAGAGTTCAAGTAAAAATTCACAAAGTTCTTAAGCCTCAAAGAAAACCAAATAAGCTTTTCTTTTTCCATTTAATTCTTCTATGTGGCACTCTTTTTTTTTGATCCGTTTTTTTCAGATTCAAGTGTTGATGGAGTAACTTTGAGACCTACCATTAGGATGTCTTTAGTTATAGGTTCATGTGTTTTATTGGATCAGATTTGTGCACCATTAATAGAAAATTATTAATTTCATATATAGCTTCAAGGTAGCATTCTGGTGGTGCTGATGTGGGTTGTTTTTTTTTTTTTTCCTGAAATGCTCTAGGTTGGTCTTTGGTTTTGATTATCATCTTAATGTAATATTTTAATGTAACATAAAATGTGTGTATTCCTCTAATGGAGTAAGGAAAGTCAAACAGTTATTAATGCAGGATAAGGATTCATTTACGGGAGTTCTTAAGGCAGAATTTTAAAGCTACTGCATGACCATATCAGAAATTCTTCCTTTTTCACTTCTGTTCCACTGTTTTGACAAAGAGTAATGCATTAGGTACTCTTCTTAAGAATGGAAATGCTCTTCAACAAAGAAGTGAGTTTACAGACTTGAGTCAAAACATATATTGTATATAGTCTACTAAGAAAAATAATGTTTGACTTTACTGAGTCTTCTTTTAGAAAGGTTTACTTATAACTCCTACAGAAGTCCCTAGAAAGAATGCTCACAAACACCGATGTAAAATTAGGCAATGGGAGTGCACTTGAGAGCATATTCAGAACTGCCAGGTAAATGGTACTTCCTTTTATCCTGTTCTCCGTTCATTTATATTGTGAGATTCAAATTCATATAAGCAGTCTGCTCTTCACACCCAGAAACAATTCTTTGAGAATGTAAGAGTCACTGATTCATAGGGGTTAAAAAAGAAAATAAAATTGGGTGCAAAAATAAAATAAAATTAAAATTTGGCGTAAAGATATCTTTAAGAGCTTTCAGAAATTGTTGCTTTAAATGGTAACTTTTGAAAATGCCTCTTGTGCTATGAAAGTTAAAAACAAAGGATAATAATCAGTCTGATTGCAGCCACTAATGTTTTATCTTTATATATGGTGGTGTGAAGGAAAATCTATTATCTCAGTCATTTAAAGAACTGTAGCGACTATGAAAGAACTGCACACATCCTGTTTTATATAAATAACAACAGATGACGTGGAATTGCTTGTGCATAGCTTGGCAAATAAAGAAACTGAGGAAGATGAAAGCTAGGACCTTTTGCAGTTGCACTGTAGCAAGCAGTGCAGCACCGTGTTCAACTTTCCACCTTTTGAAAGTTTTTTAAGCAGAAGCTTCTGGCAGGAAGGGTAAAAGGAGAAGAAACATGAAAGTCTTAAGTGAATTAACTGCAATAAAAAATACTTCTAATGCAAATAAAATCCCCATAATTTGGTATATAAAAACTGCACTTCCAAATAGAGCATTCATATAATGCACACTCCAAAATGGATTTTTTGGGAAAGTTATTTCTTTGTTTTATATTTCACTCATTACCTAACTTCAGTCATGGCCCGTAATAACTTCTCATCCCAACATGCAGCTGTGTACCCATAATTGATTTCAGTGCATTGTTCGCCACAAATTAAAAAAAAAAAAAAGAGTGAGATGGGAGGTGCTGCTGTCTTCATCTTCCAGACCCGAAGTTGAGGTGGATGTTGAAAGATTTGTTCAGCATCACAGAGGAACTATGCAGCAGATTTGGTAACGTAGAGGAGGTGTCCCCAGTCTGAAAATGCTTGTGTAACTGCTAGGCCCTCTTTTTCCAGTAGTCATGGGATGCTGACCGCTTACTGCTTTTCTTTTGTTCTCAAGTTCTGCCGGTCACTTCCAAAATAAATGAACACGATGAACAGAAAAACCACAGAATTGGAGTCCAGGAGGAGAGCTCCGACACCTTACAAAATGTGGCTTAGATGCTGTTTCTTTCCTCTTAAACCAAGTTGTCTCTGAATCAGGTGTCTAGGCAGATCTGGGAAGACAAAACCAGACTTTCGGGTTACAAGGTCCAGAAATCACCTGGTTGTCTCTAGAGCAGAATAATGTAATGAACTCAGCAGACCACAGAACTGGCGTAATACAGGGCATAAATGTGAAATCTGTACTGCTATTCCCTTATGAAACATTCTGCTTCACCTTGAAACGTGTATAAAGCATCCATGGCATAATTGTAAGATTACAAATGCATGGATTGCATAATGGCATCAACCGTCAGAAGGATCATCAAAGGCACATAACAGAAAATTTTAAACATGAGACTTGAGAATCCAGATACTGTTACAGATTGAGAACCTTATGCGAAACTAGTAAATTCATTAAATTAGGGAGCTAATGAAATTGTATAGTAAAGGTCATTTTGGCTTTGATGAGTGTTGATGTATACACAAGAAGCAAATCTGTTAAATATAAACTGGTCTGTAATTACATAGATTCACAATGGAAACCCATTTAACATTGATGTTTATCTTTTCAGTTTTATATATTTTAGGCCCAGAAACCTTTGAGTGCTAAATCTGTTTTCCAGTTATATCAATTTACAAAATAATAATAATAATTATAACTTAATACCCTCCGTGATTAATACCAGGAAATAAGGATGGATGATCAAAAAAGTGCTCAGTACAGCTAACATGTTGCATCAATTTGTCATTTTTACTCACTGGAGCAAATCTTGCAATCAAAGGGATTTGGCACATGTAGAAAAAGCGTAAGTTACATGCCAGTAGGGCAGGTATGGTTTAGTTTATTGACTCTTGGTGCATTTTTGTATTGTTGATTGGATATCTGGACAGGAGCAGAGGGCATGAACCACTACCACTGGGTTGTTTAGTCAGGGCTCTATGCCATCATGCACATGCCATGAGTCACACGAAGTGACACAAGTCTTAATTGCTCAATTCACAAATGTCATGAATCCAAAAGTAGCATTGTCTGGAGCTGGTGTATTTGAAGAACTCAAGTTGCTTGCAGGTGAGTTAGTTTTTGCTTGAATCTACTTCAAAATAAAAATCAGTGGCCTGTATGAGTTACTGAGTTACTGTTGAATAAAAAATACGAAATGGCTTTGTAGGCATGAGCAGGATCTTGCTTCGTATGTGCAGATGTCCTTGCAAAAAGTGTATGGAGGCAGGGTGACCGGTTTTCTACTTTAGCATCCATCATTTACACAGTGGTCAAAGGCTTCTCAAAGTTTAAAGCTTCATTCAGAGTAATAAGGTACAGATTAGTTCCATATCAGCTGTAAGTCCTGATGTTCTTCCCTGCTGCTGTGTTGAGATAATGAAAGCACTTTCTGGATCACTGGTAGAGTTCATATCCTGTGTCTTTTGGTATATCTTTTCTTTGCCTTGTCTACTTTTATTTTGAACTGGTGGTGATAAAAGAGCACAGCCACCCCTTTCCTTCTACTTATCCTGGCACTTGACATGTCCGCTCAGTTGCATAAGTATTTTTGTTATAGATGATGGTGTTTGGCTATGTTAGTATAAGGGGAAACTTTTCTTTGCTGTGATTTCCAGAATTAAATGCAGGGCCAAATGAAGTCTGACTTAAAGTGCATGCCTGTACTGACCGAATTTAGACTGCATGGCAAGTGTTAAAAATAAGCAAAACAAATTCAGAAATGCTGGAAATAAATGTCGTGTTGTCCTTTTCCACTTAAGTGGCACACTTTTTTTAAATTTAACGGCAGATTGAAAATGTAGAAGAAATCAATGGCTTCTATACAAGTCATTGGAAGGATGATTTTCTCTTTCCTTTAACAGCTTTCCATAGACACACATTTTCCTATACATAACCACAGTTGTCTAGAGAAGAATTTCTAAATAATAATTTATCAGAATCCATTTTTGGTAGTATTTCTTCTAACTGTATTAAAAACATAATTTTTGTGAAGAATGAATAGCAATATGGATTTTTTTTTAAATATGTTGTATTGGAAGGTGAAAATCAGTGTGCTCTAAGAAAAAGAAAGAAAAGAAGGTGTTTTATTATTTATCTTCAACACCCTTATTTTCTGTATATCTTTAAGCACGGGAGTGATTTGGGCTATGCATAAATGTACTGCAAAAACTACAGCCATGGGAATTCATGTATTCAAACACATGAAAGGGTGGCTTGTTTTAACCTGAAGCAACATGAAATTGAATCATATGAGTATATAGCAATTCTGTTGTGTATCAATTCGGGCAAAGTACTGTGTAGATTTATATTTGAGGATGTTGGTATAATAACCCATGACCACTGTCCCAAGGTACTGCTCAGCTCCCCCTTCCTTTCCCCATAAAAAGCAAACCCCATAAATCTTAACTGATTAAGCTCTAC